GTGATAGTGGGAACGGGACTAGTAAGGTAGGAAAAAGTTTTATTTCATTATGATGGTGTTAATGTTAAAATAATCTACCTACAGAAGAGTTTCATGAACAGCCCGTATTGCAGAAGCACAATAATGCAAGGTAGCAATGGAAGAAATAAAGAAAGTGCAGCTGTTATCCTTCAGACGTAGACCTACCTAAACACACAGAACAGACACTTAATAACTTTAGATATCAACAAAGATACTAACATTTTTTTTCACTTTTTTCAAATAAATTGAAGATAAAACTGAGCAATTAATACCTATCAGCTCAGCTGAATTCTTTTACTTATGCCAATGTTATGCCATGAAATGCTATCCTCATTAAAGAAGCCTACAAAAAAAAAGCTCCTACAACTTTTAGTAACTGCTGGTACTTACCAGTCATTAAACACTGGGAATGATGGTTTAAAAAAAAGTTATGGTCAACTATCTCATTAGTGTTATTCTCCAGTTTAGCCGTTGAACTTTTCAGACACTTTTTCCACCTCTGCAGACTGAACTACCTAAAAATAAGTAAAAAAGTAGTGTAGTAAATACACAGGAAAATTATGATCCACTTGCTGTATTACTGTGCAAATAAGTGGTTTTGCATTGTAATTGCACAAACTTTGAACAGTTTTCCCCTTGTATTTGTCAATACTGAAATTACTGGCTTTTGAGAAACATACCAGAATAAGCGTATTATTGTCAAAAGTAGTTTTCTTGACATGTTGAGCAAATAGGATATTGCTCACCTGACATCTTTTCAATGAAAATGAAGTATGCCCAACAATAGATGACATCAAGCTGTCCTCAAGAAAACCGTATGAGTCTTCACAAAGTTGATGATGCTTTGTCTCTTCAAAGATCTCAGCTAATACTTGCTTATCAAATAAAACTAGGTTAATATCTAATTATTTGGTCCCTGCCTAATTTCAGAAAGATGTATGTTTATAGTGACAAGACAGTTACTCCCCCTACCATAGTCTAATGCCTTAATGATAACTTTTAAAAAGTATCAGAGTGGTTTCTAACCTTATTTTACAGTAGAGACATTGCTAGTTAATATTGTGAATCTCTTTGATTAAACTTCATAGGCAGTGAAGGATATTAAAAATAGCATTGAGACTGGCACTGCTGGTTTTTTCTGTTCATTTGTTTGTATAATTATAAAGTTTTGCAGTATTTTAGGTGCAGAAATTGCCTAGTCTTGTTGAATAATGTAATTTCAAAGTTATTGTAGTCTGTTTCTCATTATTTTTGCTTCATTTTTGTTTTGTTATTATTGTTCCAGTGAATTGATATTCAGTCTTTTTTGGTTTTGAAGATAGACTGAGGGGGTGGTGGCTTCTTACTTTGGAAGCAGCACATTTTTGCAACTAAGGTTTATATTGGGTCTTGTCATTTTCAGTTTATCACTGCAATGCAAATAGCAAACAACCTCATAGAATTATTTGTGACTGTCCATAAACAAGTCAGGGCTGAATGTTATGACACTGTACCAAAGTCAGAGACAGCCTTCATGGTTGTCTCCTCAGTAAGCACTAGAATGGACTTTATGTTTGAAAACACTACAGCCAAGAACTGTTTCTGTAACAGGCTACAACCAAAGATGAGAGCTTGTTTTAATTTGAGGTGGAATTGGCTTTTGGAACATGGCAAAAGCCAATTTAACTTCTCTGTTTCTTTAAGGACCATCGAAGAAATGCCGACACCTTTTAAAATACTCAGTTATCTTACCTTTCAAAAATACAGCAGTGAAGTTCTTATAGTCAATGAATTTTATGGCTTAAACTTCACATGTGGTAAGTGTTCAAAAGAAACAAAAAAAGCAGCCTTTAAGTCCATTGTAAATAATTTTAATGAGGTGTCAATGCTTATTTTCCTTCTATGTACAACAAAAGTATCCTGATAAAATAAAGATAACTTGCGAGTTGTTTCAAAAAAGCTTAATAATTAGTAAAGACTATAACGCCATATCAGGAAGCTAGACAAAAGTTTGACTTTTTTTTTTCCAACCATTTCTCATTCTTTCAGTTTTTAATTTTCTCTTCTTCATCTGTTCTTTTATCCCTCCTTTGGGGGCATTTTGGAAGGTAAACTCTGCAGCCCCTTATGAGCTTATTGGAGCAGTGTTACACAAATAGAAGATCAATAGAATTGCACAATATAAGATCAAACATCAGTGCAGGGAGCGCTGACAGGTAACACCTGACCAGATGTTTCCTCTAATACTAGTAAGGCTTCAGTTCAAATATGTTACAATGGCATATATTAAGCAGCTTGGATCTGTCAGGCTGTGTTTTGCTGGTTGTGAGCAAGATAACCAGCAAAACATCAGAATCAGTCAGGTTGGCAGGGTTGGTAGCTAACATCCATCAATGGGGGTAAAACTTACTGCTTTGGACCTACCCCAAGATATTTTGGGCTTTGTAGCCAGGTGTCTGTGCTCCTCTCCAAGGCTGTATATTCTTTACCCATTAATCTCTCCTTTCCCTCTTTATTACAAGAGCATAGATGGCAACTGTTAGAAAGTGAATCCATGACTTTGGTAGTGATAATAAACAGCTGATTTTTAATGTGCCCTTCAGACAGTCTCCATTTCTTGAATTTTGGAAGGACTCAATAAATACGAACACCTTAAGTCTAGTCTACAACATTGGGCAACTTAATTCTTGAGGCCTCTCCAGATAGTGTGTTTGAAAAGCCATAAAGCTTTCTCTGTTTGGCATGAGCAAAACAGAAAGCTCCTAGTGACCCTTTACTCTTCCCTTCAACAAATATAGCATAGATTAACTGCAGAAACATATGGCTTGTCTGTTCTTATTGCAAAATGATGAGACATACTGCTGTGGGTATAGTTCATCATTAAAATAACATTAGGGCTAGGTATTTCAAATGTATGAAGCCTGAGTTTTAATTTTACTGATTCACCTACTAAAGAAACTAATTTTTTCTTTTGACAGGTGGAGCCAACAGTTCCACTGCAATTAATGCTGCGTGTATTTTCTCTCATGGCATTGAGTTCATTGAAAAAAACTTTCCTGATGCATTGTCCCGGTTCACAATCGATTTCCTAATACTCTATGCTTTTCTACCAGGACTTGCCATTATAGCAATTCTGAGCTTCAAAATAAGAGAGAGAATTATTGGCAGGCAATAAAAAAGTAGCAGTTCTAACAATGTCTAATACTACACTTTCAACTTTATTATGAAGGCTTAAATTCTTGGATTTTAGATAGATAGAATTTAAGTGATTATACATATAGAAACACATTCATCTTCTCATGTTTGTTTCTGACTGGATGTTTTCCATCTTGCAAAACAATGTTCTCTTAAGAGTGTGAATGGCTTCTTGCTATTGGTATTCCCACCCCACTCCCAAATCAGCCATAATCAACAGTATTACATGTTTTAAAGCTGTTGCTGTCAATGTTTAACAATGTAGCAATGGTGCTCTAATTTTTTCCCCAGTATTTTGGTTTTTAACCATTACCAATAAGCAGAGGGGTACAATTGCTAGTAAATCTCGTTTCTAGAATTGTATTTTAACTTCTATGCTTTGTTTTAATACTATTTGGGGGATTTGTAGAAAGGGAAAAAACCAAATATGTGTAAATAAAGACAGAATCAAGAAATCACAACCAATAAGTACAGGATCTTTAAGCAATATAAAAGTTACCGAACATGTTTTTGTCTTGTAAATGATGGTAAATCAGAGAAGACAGTTATGTTATTTATATCTCTTCCTTCTTTTCATTACCAAGTTCTAAACCTTGTTTTGGAAGCAGTCTGGGAATTACTAGAACAAATTTTTGTTTCTTAATAAAATGTCAATTTAACTAGTTGTTTGCCAGTTCTTAGAAGCAATGTAGTTTGCATCTTTGGAAGTTATTCTCATGGGCTTACTAACATCCCAAAGAGACTAATTTATCCATTTAATAAATATAAGTACCTCTCAAAATTGAAGGCCTAACAAACATAGAATTCCTAAATTTTGTAACTTCTTCATATTCAGTGAAGAAATTTATTACAGAGGCATAGCTAGAGATTTCTTCAAAAAGGTAAGTACATTTGTATCTTGAAACTCCATAATAATATAATTAGTTTAATTTGATAGTTTTGAAATTATGCACTTTGTAACAAAGAATTTGAAATCCTTGAGTTAATGCAAGTTCTCCACTTAAGTGCGAGGCCAACATTTTTTTGTAATATCTTTATGTATAATATTCTGAGATAAAAATGTTATATCAGAAAAACATTTGGTGAACAAATATGTTAAAAATAATACATAACTTTAAAGAGCTTGAAAGATACCACATTAGTTTGCCTTTCACATTTTTATGTGCATGTAGGGTTGCTCACCAGGGAACATTCTTATGCTCTGGTCTGCCAAGTGACTGTTCAGACATTAACTCTCTGACAACAAGTCTTACCTCTCAAAAGACACCTCTGGCTTTAATCTAGATCTTATCTTGCCTATTTTCAAAACAGTACATCTCATACTAGTGAGGTGTCCATGGACAAAAAGCTATACCTAGTTTAGGTTAGCATTTCACCAGCCTAGGCTGAATATGAATCAATTATACTTCTACCATTAACCAAGTATCTGTCAAATTGATTAGACTGACTTCCTAGCATTTGAATATTTGACAGAAATGTCTGTCTTCTAAATTTTGTGCAAAGTTATTACAACATTATATATTGCAAGAAATAATTCCCATATTAACTCTATAATACTGAAACAGAGATAAAGCAAACTTCTGAGTTCAGGTCAAACGTGGTTTTAATTCCACTTTATTCTGCCAGTTTTTGTGGACCTGTCCTATTGAAATACATCAAACAATGATGCAAATATATTCTTAAGCTTTGCTTTTTGAATTATATATGCAAAGAACTAGGAAAAGATGCCTAGCACACTTTACTATGCAGTTTCATATTTTGGGTGTGAAAACTTGTTTGTATTTAAATACATGTTTAGGGCAGAAGAACTGACTAATGCCAGTCTTCATATTCAAATCCATCTCTGACCAACCTGGAATTCCTTTCTCACCACTTTTTAAAACTCTTATGTCAGTACTAAGATATAGTTAAATTTGAACTGAATGAATAAACAGCTCTTTTTATTAAAAATAATAACAGGAATGCTTAATAAATACTAATTTTGTAGTTTCACATTGTATGTTTTCTACTGCATCAGATTAAATTGCTAGTGTAATGTTAAAATGATTAAAGTAATTTTGTAAATGTTAAGCTGAAGACACCTATAGCAGGTCATCAATCAGAGTCCAAATCCATTTCCTTCCAGGATTTAGAGGCATTTCTTTTGTATTGTTCAAGTTCCTAAAACAGAAACATACATACATATTAATCTAATCTCCTCATGACTAAAAGTTATAAGATACATACATTAGCCACTTGAACATTTAAAGCATGTACAAACATTTTTCAGTGTAGAAAAAATGTACTATATATATTTTTATCTTTAACGAAATTATACTAAGTGCTATAAATTTTGTCACATTTGTTCTCATATAGGGAGCTGGATTTTAGTTATTTATTTATACCTAGATACTTTCTAGAGAAGAAAAAATTTTGTCTTAGACATTCAGTTTGAGAAACCAGGCTCCCTATGAACATGCAGAAATGTAACACTACATGTGTTTTAAAAAGAGAAACCGGAATTATCCAACAGAAACTACTGTTTCACACACATGAAGTCAGAGCCTTTCAAGAAGCAAAATGGATTAGTTCCTTAAGATTACAGAAAAGAAACTAGAAGAATAAAAGAACAAAGCCTACCTTATTTTTTTTTTTTAAGCGCAGAACTGAAATGAACTTCTGTAAGTTTATATGTCACCAGTGTGATAACTTAGAGAGCTACCAGTGGACCTCAGAAACCCCTGCAGAACACAGGCTTGTCCAGAAAGCAGTAAGCAGAAATATATTTTAGAGGAATGTAATGGATGTTTAGGAAATTGTCATACCATATCTATTCAATCTATAGTACTGGATATTTGTGGAAATGTTATTCATCATTGTTTGAGGTTTTTCAGGAAGTGTATTACTCATGACAGGCAATGATGCCATGCTTTTACTTCTGTTTTGTTTTGGTTTTCAATTAGTAGTTAAAATATTCTTTCAGGTGGTACTGTGTAGTAGATTGAAAAGTTAGCATCTCTGTGTAAAAATAAAATGCAAGCCCAATGTGGTAATTAAAATTATGCATCTTCTAGATAGTAACTGGATTATTAAAAGCAAACAGAGGCTCAAGTTGTGGAGGTATACATAAAGCTAATTAGGTATGAAAGATGAAGCAGTCTACATTGTGCTATACTTGACATCAGCTGAGTAGTACTGAGGTAGACAAATTACCTCATTTCAGTCAAAAGTACTACTGGGAATTTTGAAGCCTATAATAAAAGGTTCTAGCAATGTTACCAAATAACAATTTCATCTTCTGAATTTTATGTAGTGGTGTATACTGTCAGAAATTATTTCTGAAGATTTTTTTCAGCAAAAATTAATTTAGAAAGCACTAAGATTGCTTTTCATTCATTTAAGAATATGAAGGCTTCCAGTGTATTTGCAGGAATATGATACTCTATTGAGGTACTGTTAGACCTAACCGTGTACTACTTGCAATACAAAAAAAGTCATCATACCTTACTTAGATCAGGAAAAGAAGTGGACATAAACCAGTGATTAGTATAAATGTAGCAAAGACCTTTAAAAGTGGGCATGTGCTTTATATGATTGATATTCTGATTTTTAATAGAATGGACTTGACAGAGTAAGGGAGATTTCACTGTAGGTATACAGATACCAGAACTGACAAAATTAACAAAATTCACACCAGGTGAATTTAATAGAAGTATTAATTCTCAATCCAGAGCACAGAGGGAGGAAGAAGAAAATAAAGGGCAGACCAACAAAGAAACAATCACCTAAAAATTGTATGGAGATAATAAATGGGATTTTCTCTCTCTCAGGAAATAACTTCAGCAACTTTGTTAGCAGTGCAAAATTTTCAGAAAGCACCACAGATTTATGAGCAGGAAGAAAATTTTTAATTAGTGCATATTCTTTATGATGCTTGCAGGAGTCTAGTTTTACAGTTGAGTAACTCATAGATGACTGACACAGAACATATTGTGTCTAGTCTAAATCTAGTAAGTTGCATTATTAAATACAGCTCTAGTACTTCTGAACTGTTCTCTCTCTAAGCCAGTCTTTACTCAGTATTTTCACTCTCTCGTTATTAATATAAAGTAATTATGATCTTGGAACATACTGAACTGTTGGAAACATGCCAACAGTTAGGAATAGAAGGAATACTGTGATGTTTTAGGGAGCACATGTAACCTGGTTTATGCTAAGTAAATAATTTCAATTCTAACAACTATCTCAAAGGCTACAGGAAGGGGTAAAATTAGACAATGAAGTTTTACATATAATGACAATGCTGTCTGCAGGTCATGTCTACAGGTATTGCCTAAATAATTAGCCTTACAGATTTGTCATCTGACTAAACTGTTTCAAGAAAGAGGCAGATAATTTAGCAGAATTTATTTTGCTGTAATTTTAGCTAGCTAGAAGGCAATTCAGTGTAAAGGCAATTCAAAACAATACAGAAATGCAAAGTATCTAAAACCACAGTATACATTAAAACTGTATAGCTATTCCACTACATACAGAAGTACAGAACAAAAAGATAAATATTTGTTTTGGAGACATATCTAGGTAAGACTAGCATTTAAACAACGAGGAATGAAAGAAAGAAGAAGGGATGAAATGGAAGGATATTTACAAAAAATAGTCTTCAACAGATTCAGTGATTCAGGAGAAAAAATGCTGTCAGGAAAGTACACTTCTTCAGTTTTCATGCAAAACAAAGTAAAATAAATCCCCATCAGTCAGAAATGTAATGGAAAAATCTCTCAAATGCAGTTTAAAGATCACTCCAGAGACCCTTTTGAAAAAGGGTACCTTCCTGCTCATAAAGTCCTATACTACAAACATAAGCAGAATTCTGGAATATACTATAACTATACAATCAGCTAAGAGATCCTCTCCCCAAACTGAAAGAAGATCCTACGAAAGAATGTATCTCAAAGTATGCCAAATGTTCACACCAGCATTATGCTTCCTTTGTTTTCCGGGTACCAAGTGTATGGGGCACAGATCAGATTTACAAAGAATTAACTACTGCAATTTAAATATACTTTCAATGTAAACATTATTAGTGCTAGCAACTTGTCCTAGATGTCTCAACACTGGTATAAAGCAGATTTTAATTTTTTTTTTTTAACCTTAATGCTTCTGTATTTCTGTGTTTCTATAAATTCTTCATCTGTCAAATGGAGCAGATCACACCTAATCTCATAAAGGGATTGGGAAGAAAGACTTAACTGATGTTTGTGAGACACTCAGATAAGATAACAGTACCACACATTCTCAGTGAAAAAAAATTAATACTTTTGTGTTCATTGAAGTGTCTGAATGGCAGGTTGAGAAATAAGGTACACAAAGAATAAGGATGATGAAAAGAAATACTGAACAATTGAATTGAGACATCAGCAAAATAGTATATGATCATGTAATTAAAGACAATACTATAATGTCTACAAACAAGGAGGAAAAATTAAGATCGTAGGAAAAGCCTTAATTGTTCCATCTCCTCAGTTCTGAGGGACTGATATGACTTTTAACTTTATTTTTCATGCAGTTTCTTACTAAAAGTGCCCTCAATCTGGAACGTGGTGAAAATAACCAAGTACTGAAGCAAGGATTAAAAATCTTAAGCACTTAAACTTCAGTAGGAGATTTAATAACAGTGCTCTAATAACCCTCTTTAAGTTGGTTTAAAAAAACCATAAAATAAATCTTTTGTACCCATTTGGACATGCTTTCTTGTGAAAACAAGAAAGCTTATTCTTGGCAGCTGAGTAAACATCCTAAATAACTTTTTCTCCTCAATATGAAGACTAGCACTTCTCCCCCTCTGGAGAAAGATGTTACTGCTCTGCTACCCATGTTAAGTTGCCTGTTGTACTTCTCTGCCCAGTAACACTGATCTGACCAAGGAGGTTCATTGCACAACATGTAATCTTCTCTTTTGTTGAATGAGATTGAAATTGTCTCCTGAAGTTCTGCAATATGGTCACGTCAGCAAAAAGTATGCTGAAAAAAATATGGCTCTTTCTGTTGGCCAACACAGTCCCCACCTCAGACAGCTGCGGATCTGACACTGAATTGACTTTTAGTTGCGAGTGACATGGTTAATTAGGTTACTCCTACTTTAGGAGAAATAGGACTATGCTTCCTTGCGAGATGTTATAGAACTTTCCCTTCTTCTGTTCATGACTTGCTAAAGTCTTAACAGTTACAGCCCTGTTCACTGAGATCTGCTTCCATTACTTCTTGTTAGCTGACACCAAACTACACCAGGCATCTACTTTTTCTTTTTTTGTAGTATACTTTATGGCATTAGGCTTCAGCTAACACTGGCACCAAGCCCTAAAGAAATACCTCTGTGTAACAAGGAACAAGTAATTGTGGACTTTGGCATTGTGTGACACTGACTTCCTAAGCACCTGACTGGGAGGCTAACCAATTCTTTGAGCTCAAGGTTAGCTTCATCATTTGCGTCAACGAATGAAGCTGCAGTCAAATGTCCAGATGAAAACGGTCCAAGACCTATTTTAAGTATTAGCAGTACAAAGCATAACATGATAGCTAAGACCTGAAACAAACAAAAACCTCTGAGAAGACAGAGTACTTGCCTCTGTGGTAGAGAGCATTTCTAAAGGAAACAGAGAAGACACCCCCATGTGCCATCTCACTGTCACAAACACTTAGAAGGAACTAAGGAACAAGACTTTCATGCACTCATAGGTGCTCACAGATGCAGGTGGCATATGTGCAGCTCTATCAACAATATTGTTTTAAAAGATCTCACTCTTATTCAAGTTACTTGTGTACCTAAAATTAAATTAAGTTGACCTTAAAGCATCACAAGTCAAAAAGCTAGCAGAGAATGGAGAAATTGATGACAAGTTTGCCATGTTGTTTATGTTATACATGGACTGTATGAAGAGTTAACAGCAAGCTTCATGTTTAAGGCCTAATAAATATGCAAAACGAATGTTTTTCTTCAATCTTGAAAGTCCTGCAAAGAGCACAAAATTCCAGTAATTCCTGGAGAGAATCTGCTAGTTAAGATATACATTAAAAAAGTAAATTCCAAAAAGGTCCCCTGGTGCTGTATTCTCTCTCTCAGAGCTTAACTCCAGAGAATGAAAAAGCAGTAAACAATTGCAACAGCACTATCTGATATAAACCTACACAGTGTATGTCTGTAGGGTAAGAACTAGGAAAAGAATTCAGAAAAGGCATAGTTGAGAAAGAGAGATGTGCTCTTGAACAAAGGTACAGTGAGGAAAAGGTAGCCTCAGACAGCTTTCCAGAGCAAAAAGGTCTAGAAATAGAGTGGTACGTCTCATAGTTAACTCTGAAAATGATAAGGAGGCAAAATAATATGGTCTAAAAGAAAACACTTTTGTGGCAGAATGCTGATGAGCTGGAGTCTTAACTTCTACAGCCAAAAAAGCATCTCATAAATAGTAGCTGACAGACAGTACATGGGAGTAAGCCAGTTACTTTCTTGTTTCTGTACTTTTTTTTTAAACTGTTTTCTAATTTTATACTTGAGAATTTAACCTTTTACTCTGCTAGAGCATACAAACCCTAGCTGCAGAGAAACCCTTTAATCAAGGTTACAAAGTTGGAACTGATTTAATAGATTGCCAGTTATCTATAAATCTATTACAGTATTATTGAGCAGTTCTGACGAAGACTGAGTCAGTCAGGTATGCTAATTCTTCTATCAGACTCAGTGACAGGGGCTGTATTTGTTTCAGTTGCTATGTTTTTGTGTTTATTTTGCCTTTAAAGCTTATCTTTGAGATAAACAAGCAAACTGGTTATCACCTAGAGTCCAAAGTGGCATATTAATTAACTGAAAGTAACCAAGGGAAATAGTAACATGCACTTCAGTGATTTTAAAATATACGCTGTTGTCATATGAAACTTTCATTTTGCATTATGTCCCATTAGCAACATGTTGCATATTGAACATCTTAATATACTGTTCCTCCTACGCAATAGAAATCATGAACTCTGTAAAGAATGTTAGACTTACAATGCATTTAAAATCTTCCTTTAAAAATAGGATTTTTGTGCCACTTTTTGTATAACTGGGAAATCCAAACACACTTCAAGAATCACTGCAACTACAGAGTTCTTTTCTTTTAGATGTATATTGCTATCTTGGTGCATTCCAAATTGAATGAAAGTCTTGGAGTATAAAACATTTTAATAATGTGCAAATAATCTTGTAAAAATTGAACTTCATGATAGAGAAGTTTAGGAAATAGCTCTAGATAACAAAAGTAATTTTCTCTTTAATGCTCAAATTACTTGTAGTAGTCCAACTAAAAGAAGCTACTGGTTTGCAATGCCCTTGAACTGATTAAGATTCTAAAAGCCTGTCTCTTTTGTTTAAAACAAAAAAATTAATAATTTCTTGTATGATTTAATCAACACATACCAGTATCTTCTTTTGCAAGACATAAGTATTATCTAAAAATAACAAACCTAGTACACCATACAGTTATTTTGAGATATATAGATACACTGGGTATGAGATTACATTATAAAAAGCAATGTGCTTTACAAATTTTAATGATTTCTAAGACTGCTCTTGATGTAACCAAAATTCAGAACTGATGCCTACATTAACAGGATATTACAGGTAACATGCAAGTTCAAAGACTGCAGGGGATTCTTGAAATTGCTTTATTCTTTTACATTATTAATGTATTTCTTTGGATCAGGTAACTATGGGTTTACTGCCTTATGCAATCTAACTAAACTCTACAAAAACTTGACAGAGACAGCAGTAATAATCTAATCCTTTGGCTTTCTTTTACAAGCATGCAAAAAGATGAAATTTGCTATGGTATTTTAGGGTTAGTTGAGATTAACTGCAGTGCGATTCAATAAAACTCCCTTTCATCTTAAGAGTGGGGGTCTGTAAAAGCATGCGAGATCTAGATTGGTACAATCCATCATCTTAAAGCACTCTTAGAAAAACCTCCTTTAACCACAGTAACTTGGTCCACAAAGAAGTTAAATGGTGTACAAATAGCCCACATACATATAAGCTGTGAGAATAGAGTGGAACATTTCTCAGTCATTCTAGCAAACAATTTTCTGTGTGTGAAACAGATGAATCTATACAAATTAGAGTTTCCAGACTCAGTATGTGATAATTCTTCCAAACAAAGAAAAATACACAAATCTTGGACTGACAGACCCATACCTATGATATCAATGAAGACTGTATACAGTATTTCTACTCACGTGATGTTATACACTGATATCTATAAGGCAACGTTCTGAACTTCATCTAGTTTGCCATAGATTTTTTCTGTAAAATTAATTCACCACAAGCGTAGGGAAATGCAGAAACACTTCAAAATTAGTAAGAAAAAATAAAAGGCCCTTTCCCCACTAAAGGTCTTTCCTGGAATTCAGGGGTAAGCCAAATATCACTCTGTGGAATAACTCTGTTCACTCTAAGATAAAAAGTACATAGCCTGCAAACTCAAGTCAGAAATATTATTATCTCAGTACCTTTCCAGTTTAAATAGTTTTGAAGTAGAAAGACAAAAATATAAAAAGTAAATAGCCCCCACCCCAAACCTTGATACCACTTCCTAGACTTTCTGCTAGTCAACACCCAAATGAGAGTACAGGGTGCAGAAGTGGAAAAATTACTGCCAAGAAAGCTTCACAGCTTTGCTTCAGTATTATTTTAATGAATAATTCTGGAAAAGAAAGGGAAAATTTGGATTATTCATTTCTAAAGAAACCATAGAGCCAAAACTTTGAGATCTAACAATGCTCTACTGGCTAGAAGTGTACCAATGGAAAAAAACCCCAACCAACTACTAGGCTGAAAATGAAAGTTGAAGTTATTTAAAGGCAAAACTACGAGCGTATTCTACAATTAATTCAGCAATGCTGGTTGTTCTGGAATACCTGACTGTGAACAGCAGTTGGAGAACTACCACACACCTGGTTTTTCTGAGCTCTCATGATATCGACTTCATACTCGATGTATTGTAAATCCTGTGCAGGGTCCTTGGTATCTTGTAAATCACAGAAACTCTAAAAGAAGAAATGACAAAACCCCAAGTAATAAATTTTATCTTCTGTTCTTTTAACAAGAAAATGCCATGCTGCAGATCTAATGGAATTATTTGCTTTTAATACAAATGTATTAAAATCTTGCATTTATGGAAGAATTCTGTGCTATAGGACACAGATTAGATTAAAACCCCCAAATCTTAACATTGGTAAAATGATCAGAAAGTAATAGTGCAGTTAGATCTTAAAGGAAAGAAAATATTCTCATTTGGTAGTTGTTTATTATTCTCTCCTCAAAATGAAAATATCCTTTCTGGCCCATGACATTTGGGCATAGTTAAGATTACTCTTGCTAGAGCATTTAATACTTAAGACTAGAATTCAGTTCTGGTTACCAGAAGCGTTACTTCAATAGCTGAGAAATTGATTACTATCTTTTTGCCAAATACCTGAATTTTCATTTACTAACCTTGAAGGAACTAAAACTTTAATTCCAAAGAAGCAAATACACTAATAGAAAGAAACACTATCAAATAAAGAACTTTTTAAAAAATGTTGTCCTGCAGTTTTCTCCTTACTCATAACAAACAGAAAGTAGCAAGAAGGCAATCATACAAATGATAGAATAAAATAAAGCAGAATTAGACTTACTATTAGATGAGGTGATGGAAAAAGAAATTTACAATGCATAAAAATAGCTTTAAAGTTTAAAGCATATTTTGGAACCAAAACAGAAGACTGAGAATCTACTTGGAAAATCTTTAAATCTTCTTTAGACTGATACCTTAGAACACTGATGGAGCTTGCAAGATGAGAAATGCATTCATTTCTCCAGCTGCTTCAGGAGGAGTACAGCAGTTACTGGGTGGGTGGTGGTGGTGGTGGAATGTTTGTTTATTGTGTTTTAAAAAGGCTATGAGGAAAATTAACATGAAAAATAACAGCTCTGTATAGTTTCTGAAAAGTAAAGTTTAGTCTTTATCATGTTGGGGCATACTGTAGCGAGAACAGCATCTTAGTGATAATTTATTCTGGTCACAAACCACCTGAAATAATTTGCAGGCTTTGATATGTAGCAGTCAAGTGAGCGGGAAAGAATGAATTCAGATTCCTTCTCACCAAGAATGGAGATCCATAGACTGAAAATTAGAAAAAGCCCAGTTTGTGCACCATAATTTGAGAGACAGTTGCATAGCCCTGACTGACCTCCTTGCCTGCCCAGGTAAGCTGTAGAGTAGGAAATGGACAGGGTTAGAGAACTGTGATACAGTCTAGTACACAAAGAGAAAGCAGCAGCCTGTATTTGCTCAGGTCAAATAGAAAAGAATTTTGATTTCCTAACAACAGCAATTACTTTTACTGAAAAGAAGTATTTGGGGGTTTGCCTCTTGGGACCAGAAACTTCTGAAATATGTGCAAGATTTATCACTACATAGGTACCAAGGGAATCTAACTACCTTGCAAATCCAAACACTTCCCAGAGCAAAATGATGGATTTTGGCAAGGAACTCTAACACACTCGCCTCATTCAAAGCCTCATGCTCTAGGAGAACAAGGACCAGCAGCTTGCTGCAGCCAGAAAGAGCTCTCTTCTTGGAACATCATTGTCATTTGGTTTAGATATTAGGGGACATGTGACCTTACAGAATTCCAAAAACACTGAGTATAGCTTGTGTCTCAATATAATGAAAGGCAATGGTATAACTTTGGAAAAAACAGAGGGTTACATCAGTACTTCCATTATTACTAAATCTAGGAAGGTGACTGAAGATGTAGAAGCTAATGATCAAAGCACTACTACATACAAATCTGTATCTTTTAAAAATTTATGAATTAAAAAGGTTAGAAGAAACAAACTGCTAAATGAGACTGAAATTCCAGTCGCCGGGCTTGAAAGAAAAAAATTAGTAGTGATATTACTACTATTCTGTGTGAAAAGAAGCTGTGCAGCAGACATGTAAATACTGACCTTGGGAGGAAAGGTTTTCTCAAATACTTTTTTCCACAGTTCCAAAGGTGTGTTTGCACGCATCTTTCCGATATCACTATCGGAGGCAGGTGGTGGTCCTAAGGATTACAGCACAGCACAAAGTGATACAAGTATGTTGTCATAACAACATAAATTATCAAATCATTTTGGATAATGATCTAATTTAATATTTTATCTTCTATAGTGACAAGCTGCAACAAGTTTGAAAAAACATTGATCTCCTACCATGAAACGAGCTGAGTGGTACTGTACATTATATTTTCTTTCAGATTTAAGCTTGTTGGTACTTTACTATTTGAAGTAGTCCCAATACTTTATTAAACTGTCTGACAAACCTGCACAAGTAATTCTCAATAATATAAATACTGAACGATAATTTTAAACTTTCTAAGCCATTTCCTTCAATAATCTGTTAAAACTGCTGCTGATGTGCTATAATTTATTTTTTATTTGCCTAAATTTTTTTTCTCGTTTTCAAAAACAATTAAGCAACAAACACAATGAACAGGAAATGACCTAACCTATTTGGCTCAGTGAATCCAGGCCTGCTGGTATAAATAGAGGTTTGCTGTGATCCACCGATACAGACTTGCTAAATAGAAAAAAAGAAAATGTATCAAGTGAGCATTTAGCAATCAATGAAAAATTACATTATTCTAGCAAGACTAGACTCTTACTGGGCTTTGCATACAAATAAATGCAAATAAAAATCTACTCAATACTAGTGGTAACCATGTTTCTAAGCCATCAGTTTTGGAATCAAAACCAAGGAGTTATCACTGTCCTGTGCAGAGATAGACAGCTGAGACATAGGAGTCAAAATCCATGAACAGGAATCTTTCAGAGATCACATTTAAGAAAAAAAAAAAAGTTTTGGTGATTAGAATATTTTTATTAGGTACTTTTAGACTCTGGGCAAGATATTTAATAGTTAGACAACAATTACGGTACCTTTTATCATAGCCAAATGCCAAATGATTAATAAGAACACGGGCTTTCAGCAGGAGAGCCTCAGATTTACTGGTAAACTAAATGAATCAGAAAACAAAATATACATTATGATCTTCCATCACAGAAATATTACATTATGTCATCCACATAAAGGATTTCAGATAGAGCCTGGCTAATTCCTGACTTCAATAAATTTGGTATGTGTTCACTGAATTTACTAGAATAAAAATCTCACCCTCCCTTTCCAAAACATGAATGTACTTGTCACTGAATATATAGATCAAGAAAGATTAAATGGAAAACAGTATAAAGATTAAAGAATAAATTTTAAAATATTAATTCAAAACTTTTGAAGTATGCACATTGAGACACAAATCTTTTGCCCAAGACTAATGACTTATTAAGATTTTAGACTACATTAAAAATTATCCAGAATACCATAAACATTTAGAAATGTAATGAATAACTATAAAATTGTTCACACATCACAAAAGCAGCTTGATAGTGGCAGAACTGGTACAGATTTATCAGAAAGCAGCTCCCAGAGTATCTTCTCAAACAGCAAGCTCATTCCTGTCTTCTGTATCCTATATTCTATATCCAGATTCACGTCTTTGAGAAAGAAGTCAGACCCCTACTGTGGGAAATGTAAGTTTCTCCCACTCTTTTCAATGGGAATCAGGATTGAGCAGCCAAAGTTTTAGGCTCCTAGTTTTTAATTTTTAATGACAATAATGCTTAAATACTTAAAAAAAAATTAAATTAAGAAAGTTGTATTCTCAGTTAACAAAAGATGAAATCATGTGTCAAAGTACAAAAGCTGTACAATTTTACATGGATACAAATGGACACGCTGTGATTATAACAATTTAAAGCAAACATAAATTGTCTGGTAATCAAAATAAGCCACTATTAAATATTATTTATTACATAAATGATGGTTGATACAATTGGAACCATCTTCTGATGTAGAGAGAGCCCAAGAGGCAGCTTTTTTGGATTGCGAACTTGAGCATGCATGTTTCTGCCTTTACTCAGAAGGTGATCTGCCAAACCCCAAATCAATTTATATAGCCACATAAATACTTCATTGTCCTCATGGTTGGCAGTTCCTACTCATTACTGTAAAAAAATTCCTGCCTTTACTCTTCCACACTCTAAGTGTGATAATCTGTTATGCTTAACTGCTGTGAAGATGAGCCCTTGGTTGTAAGTTTTTAAATCTGCCAAAGCCAGGTCACTAGATGTAAGTTTGTGCTTCTACCAAAAAGGCCAGTTCTCTAATTCTATCTAGGGTGATCAGTTTTGCCCATCCTCCTTTCTTGTACCAAAAATATTTTGCCAGACATGCAGTAAACTCAATATGGGAACTGAGTTGCCTAACAGATAACTATTTTTATTTAGTTTTTGCTGATACTGGGAATTATGTAGTTTGTTCACAAGGTATATCCATCCATCCCCTGTCAATACCTGTAACCTGTCTGACAGATTAGCCCATGAAGAAAGCTACTGTAAAACCAATCAAATCCTGTTTTCTCTAGGAGTTTTACATTTCTATTTTTTAAATTTTTTTTTGTAACACAAATATTGCTCATCTTCTCTATCCTTAGTTAGAAAGTAAACATACACACCACTAATGATGCTCCATAATAATGTGAAACAAATCGAAGTGTCTTGCTTATTATTTTCCTCATTTCAGAGTCAAACTCCTGAAAAAGTTGATATCAGAACATATACATAAGAAACAAAACCCAAAATATTACAGCTAGAACTTTTCATTTTTTGTATAAACTGCAATGCACTTAGGCTACAATATATGAGGCTTTCAGCTGTCAGCATAATTATATCTTAAGACAGAATCAGTAACAGCCTACTCTGAAAAGAAATGTCACAATTTCCCTTTGTTTCTTTTTTACAGAGGGAGCCTAATTCAGGCAGTATGTTAGTCCAGAAAAAGTTCCTTAATTGGGAATGTGTATTCAATTTTCAATTAATTTGTTTCATTTTGGTTTAGATTTTTAGAAGTAGAAATACTGCCTACTAGAAGAATAAGGATTTTTTCTTTTTGTGAAAATCGTTAACTTTCAGTAAACCTTTGGGTATATGCTCTCTAAATTGTAATACCTGCAAGATTTGAAAGATGCATAAAAATACCATTTCATCAATGTTTCTTTAATAAAAAGATCATACAGACGGCCTTCTCTGAATAAAGTGGGTGAAAACCTGGTCCTAATGAAGCCTGCAGGAGTCTGTCCATAGACCCCAAAGGAATTAGGCTGTTATTCTCTGCTTATTACATGAAAGTCACTGATTTTTAAAGAGGTCATGGCTCAGCATAAAGCCTCAGTGTGACAGAAGGCACAGTACCTTATTAATAAAGAATTAAGTAACTCGAAGAGTCAGCCAACTATCAATGCACTATGTAGTCACCCAGAGAAGCACAGGCTGTCAGCACGGCAGCTAAAAACCAAACATACTGTTCTAGTTTCTCATGATCAAGTGCTGTTTATAAATTGAGTATGCATTTGTTTGGATTTTTAACGTCCTGGGAGAGAATCCAGCAGTACTCTGACATTTCTTTCCTCTCCCCTCTAAAAGACGCAATTACTCACTTGTCTCTAAAAAGTTTGGTACTTAAAAAAAAGTTCCAGACTGAAATGATAGTTTACTGTTCATGCTGCCACAACTACCAAAAAATCTGACCAGCTGACTTGAGAGATGCCCCTCTTTCACTGCCATAAACTTACAGCTCCTGTCAGAAGGAACACATGGAGCTGAATTTCTCTCATTATAAAAGAAAGTCATCAACATGATGTTTTCTTGCTTCCCTCTTTGGTCTGCAGCAACTTGTATCTCAACATTTTCCAAGTACATCTCAAAAATCATCAGTTTGAGAGTGTTTTGTGAAGGAATGACAGTATGCCTTCCTTAATGCTGTTGGATGGAAAGATTTTTTTTGTGGTAGAAGGCTGACTGGCTGTACTTTTCTTCAAATGATTACTACTATATTACCAAGATTTTAGTATATAGAATCTTTACCAGGAATCTTTTAATTATATAAAAAAAAAAATTATTACTTACATGAAAAATATCATATTTGCTTCCAATTATCACCAAGGGTATTGGAAAAGGGTCAATTAACTCATAATCCTATTAAACAGATATATGACAGTTAAGCAGTGTAAACAAACTGTAGCAGATTCCAACTGTTAAAACAACTGAAAGGGGTTAAAATTAATTCACAGAAGACAAGCTCTATTTTTTCAAAACCTTAAGTTAGATGAATAAACTTTAATGCAATATCCATACTATATTTTACAATTTTCTCATTTTCTTCATAAATGGTCAGGAAATAATCCCTCTGAGCAGTCAGAACACTTACTGGCATAAAAGGGCTCTTACACTACATACTCCAGCTCCAACATTAGATGGGAAGGGAAGAGAGGAAAAACCTCATATATTCGCAGAACTGCCGGACTGAATTAGTAGAACTGGCTTTTTGACACATTTCCCATCCTTGCATCATACCCAAAGTAATACAGACAAACGCTCAAGAAAATTAAGCTGAATGATTTGCTTGTGTCACATGTTTGTCCTCCCCACATCACATTTGCCAAACTCTTAAAAAAGATTTAACGTGATTTTCAAGTGTTTGATATCAGCAGAAAGAGGAAATGTCCCCTAACAACCATGAAAATGCAAATCAATACCAATGGACAAATACAGCTCTGTGGGTGTAGATTTAACTGTTAAATAGCTAACTTCCAATAAAAGTTTTAAAAAGTGGATTACAATAATTCTCAAGTTATCTGGAAGGTTTTCCTGTAGTTGTCCTGGTTTCAGCTGGGATATAGTTAACTGTCTTCCTAGTAGCTGGTACAGTGCTGTGTTTTGAGTTCAGTATGTGAAGAATGTTGGTAACACTGATGTTTTCAGTTGTTGCTCAGTAGTGTTTAGACTACAGTCAAGGATTTTTCAGCTTCTCATGCCCAGCCAGGGCACCTGACCCAAACTGGCCAACAGTGTATTCCATACCATGGGACGTCCCCTCTAGTTTAGGAACTGGGTGGGAAGTGGGGGCCAGGGATTCGCCGCTCGGGGACTGGCTGGGTGTCGGTCGGCGGGTGGTGAGCAATTGCCCTGCGCATCATTTGTACATTTCAATCCTTTTATTACTACTGTTGTCATTTTATTAGTGTTATCATTATCATTATTAGTTTCTTCTTTTCTGTTCTATTAAACGGTTCTTATCTCAACCCAGGAGTTTTACTTCTTTTCCCGATTTTCTCCCCCATCCCACTGGATGGGGGGGGGAGTGAGTGAGCGGCTGCGTGGTGCTTAGTTGCTGGCTGGGGTTAAACCACGACAAGTCCATATGAAATGAGACAATCCCCTTGTGTTCAGGCAAGCATTTAGTCAAGCTGCTTTGGTTGCAGCAGAGTGGAAAAGAGATGTGTTGTAGCAGAGGTTGACATAACTGTTCCCTTCTAAAACCAGTTATTTCACATACAGGTTAAATGACAGTCACTATATTAGCAAGGAGCTGCACATTCTGAAAATCCTCTACTTTGAGAGGAAAAATAATGGATTCACTCATACACTGTCAAGGCAAAAGCTTTGAGCAAAATTATCATAACTTAAAGTTGGGTGTATGGTATATAGAAGTGGAAAAAAAATCAGTTTTAGTTTCTTAACTAAGAAAAAATTAATTCAGGATAGCATCAGGAACATTAAAATGGCATGCTAAACCCTATTTGTCTTTTGACTATGGAATTAATTTTCGACTATGGACTACTTTAGGTGCATCCAGCCTTTGTTAAACAAGGTCTGCAATTGATATACTAACGCTTTATCATCACAGCCAATAATTCTTTATCCAGGCCAATGGAATATGTCCAATCCTTAAAAAAAAACCTCTAAGAACCTCATCAATTCCTGTTTATCACAAAAGTATGTTTAGTGATAAAAACGCAAATAAAAATCTGAGTAAACTGTCGTTTATTTTGACTACAAAAGATAGTATTTTCTCCCACAAAACTGACATAATTTTTCCGTGAAAAATGATGAAAGTAAAAAGAGAACCAAGGAGTAACATACATTTTTGTTTGCATCCTTTCTGTTTTTGATAATGAAGACTGAATAGAAATTCTAGTTTAGAAGGTACAATTGTGTTCCCTACAGGGCAAGTACAACAAGTCTTCTCTTCTTAACAATTAAGAAGAGAATTCTATTCTTTTTACTTATTGAAAAAAGCTTGCAGTTTTCCAATATGTAAGCCCCTATATGTAAGCTTGACACTGTGGTCATGATTTATTGACGAGTGTGCTTGTAGGCATCTTCTTTTTGTGAATTACCTTCTCTAAAAGTAAAAAACAAAATCACAATCCAGCAGATCCCAAACCCTATACTCTAAATTTACTGAGTGTTGCATATGTTGCTTTCTCATAAATTTTAAGTTACTTTTAAATTTTTGAGCTATAGAAGCATTTGCTGTATTGCAGCATTTTATAGAAGTTACAGTAACTAGATTTATGTGCCAAGTCTTTGAATTGTTGAATACTTATTTATGCATTATATACACACAACATTTGCAGAGGTTTAATGCACAATGACTTTTCATTTCTATTGCGCATAATCTAGTTTAGCTTTTCCAGAGATTCAGTTAGCAATTATGTTTAAAGGACTGATGTTAACATCTCTGAAACTTTATAATTTAATTAGTTGTCAGATTATCAAAAGGCATTGAGTTTGTGATAGACATTTAAATAAATGCAAAGTATATAGTCATGTTGATGGCTGTTATAACTATATTCTTTGCTTAAATTTGTACCTTCAGCTAGTCTCTTGCTAGATGACTTTTGTACATTCTAGTTTTCATCTTCATTTTAAAAAGAGGGGGGGGGGGGGGGGAGGAAGCAAACTGCTACTCTAAAACTATTTCTTTTGATTGGTGTAACATGCCATAACAATCACATTAGATATCTAACAAAAAGATATAAGAAACCTTCTTTCCTTGTTTCTGCTCTTATTGAATTTTTATTAAATTGCTATAATTTTCCAGTGAACAGGTTCATCTACATCAAATGGATTTTCAGTCATGCATAAAAATCCAAAAGAGTTGTTTATGATTTTCAAAAGCATTATCTTTAACTGTATAAAGGCCTGTGACATCTGGAGAAAATATTATAAGTAACTTACTGGATGATCCCTCTGCAGACTGTTCCACATCCTCTGTTTAATTTCAGTAGCTACTTCGGGATTTGTCTTTTCTAGTTTGGTTAAAATTTTGTTCACGTGGTTCCTGGTGACCTGCAAAAGTTTCTCCATAGTAGTCCAGAGTTCGTTAGGTTTGGACAGATCCAATACAAGAACTACAGCAAATGACCTATTAAAAAGGCATTATTTGGTCAAATCTTTAGTGCATGAGACAATCAACATTTTCATATACAACCACACCTGTAATACAAATGCCAAAAGCAACAAGTGTGAAAATACAAATGCTAAGATAGAATTAAATGTGACAGCAAAGGAAGATGGCTTGAGTTCTGAAGAAACCTTTCCCTTGTCTCTTGTTCAGAACTATTACTTTAGCAACTTTCCATCAGAGGTTTTGGGGGGACTGTGTATATTAAACTTTGTTTCTGGAGACTTTGTTTCAAAGCAGTAAAGTATGCAAATATCCTGAGACCATTTAACTCCTCCTTCCTGTATGACTGGGCACTTCTACTGTCATGTATCACTGCCATCTCATAACTCTACAATCCTAGATGAAGCAATGTTAGCAAATGGTTAGGATCTTTCTTAACCATTAATGTATTAGAAAGTTCTACACTTCCATTATTGTTTTGTAATATGAAATGGAAAAAACTGGTTACAGGCAATATTCTGTGCCATGGACTGCACCAGTTAGCTGGAACCTCAAATGGGTGTATGAGAAAGTCTTGTGAAAGATAAACGGAAGAAGTCAGAGTACTCAAGACATATTTAGCAATTACCAGGCTTTTAAAGGTGGATTATGATGAGAAATGCTTTAATATAAACTCCTCTCCTTCCAAAACCCTGCCTCCCCAAACTCTAACTCCATTAAAGTGCAACTGTAAAGAAGAACACTGCAAATGAAGCCATATGAATGGATGCAATCATCCCTTCACATTCCATCCTGACTTGAAAAAGGGGATTCCAGACCAGAGTGGTATTAGAAAGACTACAAAGCAAAGTGAATGTCCAATTTCACTTTAAAATCCTGTGGGGAAAAAAATCTGGTGAAAAGTCTCTTGGTGAAACTAGATATAGTTCATGGAACTTTTAAATAAGCAAAATGCTTGACTACAGACAGATGAGAAAACCAGTGAAAAGCACTTAAGCTGAAATGGTAGAATTTTTGACTAGCATGTTAAAATACTGCCTTATGAACAGAAGCGGTCTTACAGAACAATGTTGCTACCCATTAAAGAATCTTAAGACCATCCACATCAGAAGATTCCTTATCAGTAAAAAGAGAAGAAAAGACTGATGGAGGTAGAGGTTAGTTAAGTTCATTTAGACAACAGTTGAAAAATGATAGTAGATTTCCACCCCCCACCCAAGCTCTTCTAGAAACAAAAAGCTTCACATACCAAAAGTGGTTTTTTTTATTCCTTCTGTCTTAGTCTCTCACTAAATAATGGCATTATCTCAATAGTCACAACAGCAGCAAATGTACATGATAAAAACTGTATACATCCTTTTTTATTTTTTTTCCACAGAAGTTAAAACTCACTACCAAAGAAATAAAGCAGTGCATCATAATACAAAATTTATCTTTTGATCCATTTGTCTCCTTCTGCTTTCAAATCCATCTTTCCTAAGCAGAAAAAACATTAAATGCACCCCCCCATCACCTTCTTATTTCTTCTTCCTATGCTATTCCATCACTTTTATGGATTTTTCTCACTACATTCTCTGAATTCTCTCTGAATTCCTGTTTCCTTTTGTCTTCAAATAATTTCAATAGTTTTAGTGCCTCTCAGAAATATCATCTCTCTTGTAATGATCTTCTTATCAGACGGTCACTTCACTTCCCAAAAATCCAGAGATTTTTTTGGTCACAATTTTTTGCCTTGTTTTTCACCCTAAAATACCGCCCTTCACAGAGATAGCATCTGCATTTGCATACAGAAGTAGGAAGCAAGATTTTATTTCTTGTATGCCCCCAGGTTGCTTTCTCTGCTCTTTCACTGAGCATAAAGATACTATGTCTTCTCTTTTTCTGTATTTCTTGTTCTATCTACTTAAGGCCAACCTATTTCCTTCATGTTATCACTTTCTCTTGTTGTTGGAGGTTGCTAAGAACTTGGCTTATTAGGAGAGAACCATGAAAAGAAAGGTCAAAGCAAAGTATCAGTGGTATTACAACAATTTTTAGAAAAAATCATAAATGTTCTATCTTACATTTTGAAAGAGTTTTCCACATTAAAAGGTCTAGAGATTTACTTACATTTGAAGGAAAGCTGAAATTAACCTTGGAATTCTAATATTAATCACTTACCTTATGTTGTTGCTACTGATTGGTATTCGAATTAGTTCCAGTAATGAGGTTCCACCACCTAGTTCCCAAAAATGAGCTATATCTTTAGGCTGTGAAAGAGTTTCGTTATGTTAGAAATGTGTGCTTCCATGCAACGCCAAGAGAAGATCTTCATCTGATAAACTGGCTTTTCATGCAAGTGACTCAGAACAAGAACATATATTATTACACTAGTATTTTCTGAAAAAACAAACCAAATAATAAACTCCCCATGTTCAAGAAATCCCATACACCACTTACAAAAGACTCCTGGCATGCCTATGACTGTCTTGATAAATTACTACAGTAAAGTAAAAAAGTCAGGAAGCATGATTAATGATAAACATAAAAAAAAAATCAGGTTCTCTTCCCTTTCTTTTTGTTTATTGCAGCTCAAGACTACTGCTTTTTAAGAAGTTTGCAACTGGAAAAATAATAACTCTCTACCTTCGCATTTAGTTTCTGGGAAAAGTTTTAAGTGATTTTTATCTTTCAGAGTCAGATTTTCCACTCCCTGCTTCAGTAATAGAAACAGCAATTACCTGCAGCAATAGTTATTGCTGCTGGGCAGTGTTGTGCTGTGCTGTGCTGTGATGGGAACGGGTTCAATATCTCTGTTAACATAATCTGCAGTGCAAAATTTTGCAATATGGACAAGTAACCCAAAAATTTAATTATGATTTAACATTGTCCAAGATGACTACTTTTCTCACAAAACTGGTTGTAAAGTATTTTCATCAGTTTCTACTCATTTTGTGTATTAAAGATAAAGGCATGCATACAATGTTACAATAGGTAAATAAAAGCACTCAAACACAACAAACAAGGTAGTTTTTATAAATTAATCTGATTGTTTTGTGTTACACTTTGGTCTCTGATCTACTGTGTTTTAGTGAGAAGTAAAAACATATTACAGATTAAAATACAAAATTAAGCTAGCTAATTTAAATAAAATTATATTAAAACCCCCTTTTTGTTTCACAAACAATAAACTAAAAAACCTAAGATTCTTATACATAAAAATAAAACACATATTATTTTTATGTGTGTGTGTGTATATATAAAGATATGGTAGACTATACTTTCTGAATACTCACTGTATTGTGTCTCCTTGCCCTTCTTCCAAAAGTATATTCCAAGGCTAATGTTGGCTTTGAAATCTCTTCCCTATGCAAGGAAAAATAACTTCATTTTGTCAAGATCCTCTAAATAAAGCAAGCTAATTCTACAGTTATTAAATTATATTTATCAGTCAGTTCAGAATTTGGCTTAGAAACAGCAGCACAGAGAGGACGCTTTAAGGCAACAGATCTCACTTGCTGAAGACAGAAGTAGCAGCACCAACCTGAACAGATGGCCATTTAAGCTAATACTGGAGAAGGACTGAAGGGGTCAGATGACAGGTCGTAATGAAGGGAAGTTAAGTTTATCCGTAAGTGATCAACTGGTCACAGAATACAACATCTGTATACATTTATTATGAATTATCCCACAATACAGCTATTTATATAAAATTCTAATCCACAGTTGAAAACTACTTTTAAAAATTTAACACATACCTCTCAAGACACCTCAGTATAATAGTGGTCTTTCCCTGGAAATTAAAAACAAAGAAGAACCCTAGTGTACTGTCATTAAAGCATAAAAGTTGTATCACTAAATGAAACTCACTCACTTAACATTCCAATAATAAAGTACTGGAAAAGCATAAACTCAGGTAATTGTTTGTAGCCTTATAGTGGAAACTTAACAGCCAACTTTCTGTCAGAATCAAGTTACACTACCATTATTATAATTATAAACTAATAGAGATGACAAATACAGTAATAGGAATAGTGGGCTTAAAATTAGACAGTGATCAACTTGGCCAACTCTGTTAATCTGCTTAACAGTTTTTAATTATTAATAATACATTTATGTAATGTTTCGTTTCCACTGGAATTAATTATTACCAATGAGATGGAAATAAAAAGAATGCTTAAAATACAAATAAACATACATAAAAGAATGTCTTTACACTGTTGAAATTCAGACGCTGAGTAACATACCACACTGAAGGGGTTAGCACTTCTACAGTTTACTCTGGTGTCCTTTCCCATCTCAAAAAAAAAAGTGAATTTCAGGTAAATCTGAAATACAGTAAAAACTGTATTTGCTCTAAAAAGGTATTATAAAAGTGCTGATTAAGAGGTTGCACATATACCAATCCTTCTAAAATAAAACTTGTATTCTTAAAAATATGACTCACTTGGTCAAAAAGGCAAATATTTCCTTATTTACTTTACAAATGAATGCTAACAGAAGAAAAATATGAAATTACTAATGACCAAACTTATGGGACAATAAGGCTTGCGGAATCATAAGTTTGCAATCACTGGTAAGGCATGTTCAAATAGGTCTGACATAATACAGACACAATTCATAGCAGGATGTCAAGGCCTCTATCTACAACAAAACTGGTATCAGTACACTCAAATTGAATTGTTACCAGTTAAACCTTTACAAGGGGAAATTTGACATGTCAAACAATTAGAGAGTAGAATTATTTACGGCAGTTACTTTTACAAAAACTAATGAAGCCAAACCTCAAAGCATTAGCACATCAGTGATAACAATGGTTGAAGTTTTGACTCTCCAAACCATAAACTTGAACTTCTGAATTGTAATAAAGTCTCATTGGTCCACACTCTGTGGAATGCCCAATCTCTGCAGAATCAGAACATGACATATTTTGTCTTTAGAAGAATTAAGTGGACCTTAATATCTGAAAATATCAGCTATTTTCCCTGCCACAAACTATGTTTGAAAAGCACAGAATTGAACAGTATTTAGCATTACCCCATTTTTGTTTCCCATAAATAATATTGATTTTTCCCAAACTTCCACACGCTTGCCATCGTCATCGGGGTTTTCTCTCTTCTCCACTTCAGCTATAGCAAGATCCCATAAAGTATCACTAGTTGGAAAAAACAAAGAAAGAAGGTCATTAGAGAAAAACAATGGACGCTAGGCCATAATTCCTGCAAATACCTAAATGGATAAATGAAGGGTATTGCGGTTTATTATTATTATCTGTTATTGTTATTATTGTTTCATATCACATGCCCTCTGCTTGTCGAAGTACTTCTAACAAAACCAGGTTAAGTAAAATTCCTCAGGTAACTGCAACAGCCGTTTGTGGCACACACTGAGTAAATACCAGCTGTGTGGCGGGAGGTTTTCTTTTGAGTACGTTTAAGACACCTTTAAAAGGTTTTCTAACGATTAAGGCTTTTCACAGCACCCTGCAGCTCAGGCTGGCAGTCTCTGGAGTGGGGAGCTCCCGGCCGCCGCCACCGGAGTAGCCGGTAACGGGTTAGTGGACTCGGGAGGGCTCCGAACCTGTCCTCGGTGTCCCGGGGAAGATACTGCTCGGGGAAACGAGAGCTTCCCCTTTTCAGGCTCCCCCATGGCCACCTGCGGGGTGGTGGGTTAGATCTCCGCCTTTTCTGTGGGGTCCCTGACAGGAGCAACCGGCTCCTCGCTCCAAGGGCCAGGCGTGCCCCCATCCTGCCCGCGGCCCCGCTCGCTTTCGGGGACAGAGGCCGAAACGGCCCCTTCTACGCCTGCCTGCCTGCCTGCCTGCCTGCCTGCCTCCTCCAGGCTGCCCTCCCCGGGCACCAGCTCCTTCCCCACACAGCAGCGGGGGCGAACTCCCCGCACCGAAGCCGGGCAGGGCCCCCAGTTACCTGGCCTTGGGCATCGCTCCTCGGGGCCCGGGCCTGGCTCCCCGTCGCCATGGGAGCCGCGCAGGGCACGCTGGGAGGTGTAGTTCCGCGGGGAGGGGGGGCGGAAGGGGACGGAGGCCGCTTCCCAGCGGGGCCGTGCCGCGGACTCTCCCCGCCTTCTGGCCCGCCGCGGGGCTCGCCTCAGCCCTCCTCGCTGCCGCGGCGCTGTTCGTCGGCAGCCTGCGCGGCGCAGGGGCGCCCCCGTAGCCGGCAGCGGTGCGGCGGGTGGGAGTTTTTCTTTGCCGGTTGCCCGCCCCGCGGGGGGGGCCGGCGGCCCCGGGGGGCGCAGCCGCCGCCGCCCCCGCCCCTGAGGTGAGTTAAAGGCCCGCGGCGCTTCCACTGAGGGTCCCGCCCTCCTCCGGGGCCCCGGAGTTGTTCGTGGGACCCGCAGCTGCCTCTGTTTTTCGGGTGCTGAAAATGGCGCCCCGCCCTACTACCAGAGTGGGCAGAGCTGGTGTGAAGGGTGGTGGAACTGCTGGGTCCTTGGGGGACTTCCACTGTAGCCCTTGTTGTGAAGAGGCAAAATACTTCAGCAGTGGAGAAAGCCAGGGATGAATAAAGTCATAAATGGCGGGAGTCTGTTCTTTTACCTTAGCCTTAAGCGTTGGCTGCTAATAAACTCATGGTTCCCGAGATAGCTTTGTTAACAGTGGCGGGAGTGAAACAAGGCCTGAGAGAGTTCCCAGCCCCTAATAAGTGAACTGCTGTATAAGAAAATAAGTGCAATTATTTTGTAGTTACTGGGGCATACAAATCAACTATTATAAGTGTAACTAAAAGTAAGATGCTGTAACAAACAGGAGACGGGCTAGATTATTTCAAATATGATCTATCAATCAAAGATCAAATCCAAAGATCATGTTAGGGTTGGATTAGAAAGGAGGCTTTAAAGGGCGCAGTAAAACAGCGGGACGACCCAGCATATCAAAAGGGATATAGGATGTAGGTGAACCTGACAAAACAAGTCAAATATGTTCCCCTATGTCAGCAAAGTGACCCAAAATCCAGGACAGTAATTACCGCTGACCTTCTGTAGCTGACTAGCTGCTTCGCCTTTTGAGAGACTAGAGAGAGAAAAACCCAAGTAAAATCCTCTCTTATCTGTTTGATCAAAACCAGGAAAGTGGCCTCATTCATAATGATTAACTCAGAATTAATTTTAACTGTTCTTTCTTCCTTCCCCAAAGAAGGCTTATGTAACTTTCTACAGATCCTAAATAATACTTGTTCTTTAAAAAAGAGTTTTTTCTAAGTTGTAACTTGTATAATCACTCAGTTTCAGTTCCAGTAGCTTTCATATAGTTATTTTTGTCTGCCTGTATTTACTTCCAGGTTTTTACATGGATCTTCTAAAGTATTTGCTAACCCCCTATGGAAACCATGGTCTTGCTAATTAAAATCCAGAAAGAAACTGCATTGTTTAGTGTTGTACTGTGGCAGGTCATGCGGATGCCTTTCTAAGTGCATTTCTTTCAACAATTTCATTTCAACGGAATGTTTCTGTTATCTTGGTATATGAAGCCAGTGCTGATCTATAATCAGCAGTTAGAGGTAGTAAAAAAACCCTGGCCAAAGCTTCTCTTGCTCTGACAAAGATAGCAAAACTAAGGTAGGAATTGCTTCTGGCACTGATCTAGGCATATATTACTGCAACAGCAGGAGTGTAAGACTAAAAAGCAAAGTATTTTTATAGTGATTTACTCACTGGCAGAGAGGTGGCTAATCTCGAAGATGCTGCAGTACTAATCTGCGCTGGGAAACACAATATAAGGGTGTACAATTAGTAAGTTGTACTGAAGTCCAATCTGGAAATTAAATTGGAGTTTTCAGTATTTTAAGTTTCACCTTACTCAGTTTCATTTCCTTTGCCCTAAGAAACTGTAAAAAAATACTTTTGTCTTCCTAATTCATTATTAGTGAGTTACTAATCACCATAGTTAAAATTCACTCAAACTAATGGATTGCACTAAGCTGTACGGACTATTAAAGCTCTACCTAAAGCTTTAAGTGGTGCATTCCTTTATGCAAGGATGATTTTTTTCCTTCAGGAAAAAAAAACAAAACAAAACCTGTAACTGTGTGAGTTTGACAAGGAACTCCAACACCAAATGCCTACCAGCCTTCTTTTATAGGGAAATATATGCCTCTATTTTAAATTTAAATATAAACCAAATTTAAATCTAAAGTAACAGAAAACACTAATTTTGTGGATTGTATTACAAACTGAAAGCTTTATAATTTTTCTGCTGTACTACAGGAGTTAATAGGTCTTGCTTGTTTTAGAAATGAGCAGTTTGCTTACTAATACTGCTGCACAAAAATTGACAAGGCAAAGTGAAGTTCAAGTAATATATTAATTTACACTGCATTCCAAATACTATTTTCAAATCAGTGCGATTGTTTATACAGTTACCAGTGATCTTTCAGTGATTACCAAGCTCGGATTCATTGACCATTTAAACTGACTGTTGATACTGACCACTAGCTCAAAGCAAGCACAAAAGATGTTCTGAAGTTCATAATAGCAGGTGAAGTCTCCTTGCATGTGCTAACACATTAATTTCATCCTGAGAATATTTTTACAACCTAGGTTCTGCAAGCCTTGAGCATCAGTCCCAGAAGTCGCTGCTCATTTGACAGCTCCCATTGTATCATCCCTGCTAAAGATCAGAAGGTGAGAAAGGTCTAGTTCCTACCTGGGCTTTAATCATGGATTAGGTAGCAGGGTATGAATTGTTTTGGTGGATGACTCAAGGTTAAGACTGAGATGTGGAGCACTCATGAAGCTCAGACTGGGTGGGGAAGGCAGAACAGATATTTGCCTGGACTCTGAAATTTTCTGATTTGCTGTCTTATGTTGTGTGGTATCCTCTAAGTAGCTCTGGAGCTAGACTAACATGGAACAAGTTCCCCTGAGACTTGCATAGCTGTGTTTGGAAGTGTGCTTGCGTGTGTAAGAGAGTATTTCCTGACTCTGTTAACTTGAAGAGAAGTGTCTGCTTGACGAGGTTACTATCACTATGGAAACCTCACTCTTGCTGATAAAATCCTGGAAGAAACTTCATTGTTTAATGTAGTATTGTAACTGTTATTCTGAGTGCATCTATTTCATAAAAACTAACACAGCATTTCTGGTAATGTGACTATATGGGATTAATGGTGACCTATAATGAGCTGTTAGTGGTACTAAGTCTGGAAAGTGCTGCCAAAAAAGGGAAACTAATGCATTGCTTCTGGTACTATGATGTAAGGATATACTGCAGCAGCAAGAACTTAACAATAAAAAGCAAGGCAATGTCTAGAGGCAGGAAGGTCATACTCTACTTCATAGATTGTATACTGCTTTATAAAACAGCTGTTTGTAAGGCTGTGTTAATGAAAATGTTTAAAAGACATCACCTGTATTGTGTATCGTGTTGTTTCCAAATTTAACAAAGATTTTAAAACTACATGAACAACCTCAGTAGCAAAATGCTCCACTTTTTTTGCCTTCTAACAGAACCTGACCTGCCACATTCATTTAAAACTGGACAATTAGGAAAGAATTACTAGCTGGAGTGTTCTAGGTTGACAGTTACCATCATTTCATGGTGACATGAAGATTTTTGTATTTGTAAATTGAAGATTCTCATCATTGTATTTGAGAAGCTTTAGACTATGACCCGAGTATAACTGATGTAGTAGCATCTGTTTGAATTTACAAACACCCTGCCCCCCTGAAATCTCTGAAAGTTAACTATTCTGCTGATTGCAAAGGGATGTTAATTCCTAAGCCAATTTCACCACGGTATCTGCATTATTTCATGTGGGGTGCTGCACAAAAAGATGCTGCAGTTGGTGTCAAGGTCTCTTGTAGCTTCCAATATGCTTTCCTTGATGATGGCAGATCAGCTGCCTACTAGGAGGTAAATGTCCTGCTGCTGGCCCTGCTTCATGGAAAGAGAACGATCTAGTGCCACAACGACCACCAAAGGGTGAAAGTTACCAGGAAGCTCCTCCTGTATTGCAAATGTGAAAGCATCTGGATATAGTATGTTTGTTATTTGCTTGTAATTTTCAAGACAAAGCATTGGCCCATAGTACCACTCATAAAATGGTGCTTGAGTCCTGCAGTCTTAAGTAGCTGTGGCAGGACTTTTGAGAGCTTTCAGAAGAAACATATTTAAGAAGTCAGCTTGCCAATTTGTCTTTCCACTTTTTAAGAGCATGATCCTTTCACAACCTGTATCTCCCTTCCAATCTATTTTAATTCTTCAGGAGGATACTCCCTACCTTTCATAGAGGGCAAACAGCTGAAAATTCCTTTTCTCTCAATATGAATATGTGTATCTCATAAATGTTTAAATGTCATAAAACAAAGGAGATTTTCAACCTTCAAATATTAAAATTAATCATTGTGAAATTACTTCAGTTGTAAGTAATTAAAACAGATGATGAGGGCTAGCAGTAAGGGATTCATGATCCATGATCATTAGCATGAGCAGAATTGGAAATTGTGAAAAGTATATAAATCAGTGACTTATATTTGACTACCTTCTCTATGGTTGGACCTAAATTATCTATTAGAGTATGCTGCTGATCCATTTCAGAGCCTGCAGAAGTGGTTTATTTGCATGGAAACAAAAATGTGAGAATTGGAAGAAAAAATGGGTGTAATTTCTATGTATTTGACCCTACGTAGCACTGAGAATTGCAGTTGAAAAAGGCAACTGGAAAGTGGTCCTAGGTCCAATAGTGCAGAAGCAGCATTATGTCTTCTGTGTGCAAGAGCATTATATTAGTATTATAGTATGAAAAGTACAGATACAAATGAGAAACAAGAAGTACAACTTTTACAAAATATTATTCTGAATCAATGTATATACATTATAGACATTATACATGAATTTTGTATGTCACATATGTCTCCAAGTTTATTCACAACAGTTCAAGCAATGGCTTTCTGTGTTATTCTTGTGTTTTGGATTGTGAGTCATTCTTGCATCTGTATTAT